TAATCAGACTATAAAGTTAAGTTGTGATTTTTATTCCTTGCATCCATCAGGAGCTACCCAATTTGCTTTGTATTAATTTACAACACACATCCAGTAGGCTGCAAACTTAATCATACCTTGTTATAAACAATCAACCTTAAAGGTGTAGATTTCAACATGAATATCAATTCATTTCTTTGGGGATTATTATCCTTCTTTTTCTTGTTCCCAAAACCCTCTTTTCAAGAATCATATAACCTTTCACCAGTCCCAAACGCTAGGCTGCAAAATGCCTTTATAGCCCTCCAAGCATGGAAACATGCCATCACAGATGACCCTAAAGGCTTCACTTCAAACTGGAATGGCCTTGTGGTTTGTAACTACACTGGAGTTTACTGTGCGCAGGCTCCGGACGACCCTTATATCATCACTGTGGCCGGAATTGACCTAAACCATGCTGGCATATCTGGTTCATTGCCTGAAGAATTAGGCCTCCTTGCTGACCTTGCTCTCTTCCATATAAACTCAAACAAGTTCTGTGGAACACTTCCGGCTAGTTTTCGTTATCTTCGCCTTCTCTATGAGCTTGATGTAAGCAATAATCTGTTTTCTGGTGAATTCCCTTCTGTTGTTCTTTGCCTTTCTTCACTTAAATTCCTCGATATTCGATTCAATAAGTTCAAGGGAAAGATCCCTTCAGCACTTTTCGACTTGAAACTCGACGTCTTGTTCATAAACAACAACAATTTCCAATCCACATTCCCAAAAAATTTTGGCAACTCGACCGTCTCAGTCTTTGTCCTGGCAAATAACAATCTGCAGGGGTGTTTGCCTTCAAGTATAGGCAAAATGGCCAAAACCCTGAACGAAATTATTCTCATTAACACTGGATTAACTGCTTGTTTACCAGAAGAAATCGGATTGTTGACAGGGGTGACAGTTTTTGATGTTAGTTATAATAATCTTGTTGGGACACTACCAAAATCTATGGGGAATATGAAGAGTATTGAGCAGCTAAATGTTGCACATAACAAACTTTCGGGTGAAATTCCAGACAGTATTTGCTCCTTGCCGAGGTTGGAGAATTTCACATACTCATATAATTACTTCTGTAGTGAAGCAAATTCATGTCTGAATTTGAAAGATAAAGATGACAGGAAGAACTGTATACCCCATAGGCCTAAACAGCGCTCAGCAGAGGAATGTAAGGCCTTTTATACTCATCCTGTGGGCTGTAGTGCTTTTGGTTGTTTACCACCACCTCCACCGCTGACTCGGCTGCCGCCACCACCACCCCGGTCATCTCCTCCACCACCACATCATTATTATCACCATCCATGATCAAGTCATAAATGCCTCTTTCTTCATTTGTTTTAGTTTCTTGACTTCTCTTTGCTTTTTCTTTTCTTTAATATTCTGCTTATTTCATTGTCATAACTCACAAGAAAGGGTAAAATCATATAACAAAAACGATAACACAAATATAAAACTGATAACACTTTTACCTAATTGTGGTGTATATCTCTGTAATTTTTATACATTTATGTAATGTATTTCATTGTGTTGGCAATAATACTTTGGGCTCAAGGTTTTGTGTTAGTGTGGTAGCTAGTTCAAATTTGTCCTCTCTCCAGTAAAAGAAACTGAAAGAAAGAAACGAATTCAATCTTAAAAGTCAACTTACTAAAATTAATAACTCAAATTAGGAGTGTTAAGTGCGTCGAGTTGAAACAATGAGTCGAACGGTTCTTGACGTACCGGGCAGGCGCATTTCCGCCCGTGTGGAGAGCCAACTCACTTCAAGGAAGTTGGGCTTGGCTCGTCCCCTTGCTGGGGGCTAGCCAAGCCAAGTTCGCTCGCAATTTTTTTCCTTGAAAATTTTACTCTACTTTTTAAAGTATGATCAAGACATAAATTTGAAAAGAAATTATAAACGTTAAAATTACAAAGTTGTAAAGACCCTCATATTCTATTCAGGCTATAGACTGATTACAATATGTAGACATAGTTAAAACTGTACACAATGAGTATTTTCAGTACAAATTTTTCTAAAAAAATTAAATATCAACATACAATAATAAATATAGAAGTTAGTGTACCAAAAAATCCATGAATTTTATAATTAGTGAAAATCTTCAGCAAATGTACTAACCATATTATCTTTTGTTTGGTAGTACGTATCTTTTCAATCTTTCAAACACATTATAGCCTTAAACATATATTCTTTCAACAAGTTTCTTTCATCGGACAAACATAACCCTATCACTTGTGATAAGCATAGAATCCAATGATACAGATGAGACAGAAGGTGTTAATAGATCACGTACTATCAAAAATAATATCAGATGTACTCATTTGTTCGCCACTGTGCAAGTCTCTTCTTGGCTTAAAATACTATGAATGCGATAAGAAAAATATCAAGCTATTTCTACGGGAATTTCATTATATCTGCTACTAATACCACTAGGAATAAGGATAGACGATGAACTTCTGACAATAGTTGTACTTAAATAGGATCATACGTTGTCATGGAGAACGATGAAATAATAGAAGACGGGAATTGTGGATTATTAATTTTAGGGTGTTTGGCAGCATACTATGGATACAAATTGTACAAGTATTTTCTATATCACAATGTGTAATGGAAATATCAAATATTAAATGTGGAGATTATTATTATTATTATTATTATTATTTTTTACAATACTATAAGTTTATAAGAGTATCCATAACTTTAGCTAGAGGAAATAATATGGAAAGATCCTCCCAATATTTTTGAAATTTCACCTCTTTTGTAGTAATAATGACATAAAAATGAACAATCTCTATATTTACTAACAAAAAATATTATATTAATAAATTAGTAAGAATAACTGGAAAAGTAAGGTAATAAAAGCTCGTGCACGCATTTGATTGCATCGAAAAAACCCTTAAATTTATAATCTCGAAAGCAATTAACTAGTCATCAGAAGTTAATGCATAATCACAAAGGAATGAATCCGATCGTTATAAAAATTTGTAATAACACATTATTGTAACTTGAGATAAGTAGAGTTCCACACGTTACATATATCTTTGCAAACATCCTAAGTTCTCATATGCATACACTACAACAAAAGTGGTTTTTAACGGCATTGATTTACGAAGTATCATTTTACAGTGTTCGGCAGATGTGTACCGTAATTAATTAAATGCTTAAAGTATTTATGGTATACATTTAGGACACACTGTAAATAATCTAGAATTACACCTTTTTACGACGTGCATCATGAACGCCGTTATAAATTACACTTTTTATGGCGTGCATTGTGAACGCCCTTATAGACGCACGCCGTAATAGTCGGCCCAAAACAAAATAAAATTAAAACCTGCCAACCCAAGCCCAACCCTCATGAAATTAGGGAACTTATTGTCGCATATAACTCATTCCCTCTCAATCCCTTGTCCCTGTCAATCTCGCGCCGCCTCTCTCACAATATCGAGCATCGCACACCGGAGACGAATCTCCAGTCAATGGTCAGGTGGGCAATTACACCCTAAGCAAGATTACACGCTGTTTAATTGCCCAGATTTTCCCCCTCGTTTTTTATTTAGTTCTGCGACTTTAGCTTCAGGTATGTGTGCCGATTTTTTATTTTTTTTTGCTGGGTCTTATAATTATGCAGATTGAAGATGGTCGTAATCTTGTTTTTCCCTCTTTTTAATTCTAATATTTTACTGATTTGTCACCTTCTGATTGTTGAGTTTGATATTTACACTGCCAGAATCTGCACTATAGAGACACAGCAGTGTGTGGTTACTAGTTAGTTGCAAATTGAATATATATGTGGTAAGAGGGATGATAAGTTTATAGGGTTCTTGAGGTGAGGGGTATGAGAAAGAATATAGCTTTGGTTCATCCAGAAAACCACAGATTGTTTTTTTGGTCTCAGAGAAGGCGTTAATAATCTGGTGGCATATCTCTAACTCTGTTTGGCCACCTAAAAATGTCTTTGTTGAATTCCAACAATTATAGATCATCACAATGATGTTTAATTTAAGTTATACAATTCTGTTACTACTTATTTCTTGATAAGTTATATAATTATAGATCACCATAGACACTTATTTCTTGATAGTATAGCAACAGGTTACTGTAAAAAATAAAAAATAAATAAAAATTTTTGAAGGCATAATGGCTTTATGGATAAAGTCATAAAAAAGATAAAATTATCTTACATTTTTAATGTTGTTGCGAAGATTGAAAGATTTCTTCTGTTCATCATATGAGCCTTCAGCAAAATGTTCAAGCAAGAGGAGAATAGCACTAAAGTAAATACTTAAAGAGAAGATTTCTGAATTATATGCATCATTCAGTATTTACTATCCAAGAAAATCTTCAAAAATCTGAACAAAAATAGGTCACGGCTTAATGGATACGTAATGTTGTTCTTATTGGAAGAGAAGTTGAAAAACCAGAGGGTGTTTTTTAGTTTATCTGAGCATGCAATGATCTCTCTTCTTTACTTTCTCTCTTTTGCTTTTCAAGATTGTCTAATTTATAATATCCATTGCTTTATACTTTCTTTTTCCTAACTAGAAAATCTATAAAAAATCTTAGTCTGTGTGGTAATTATAGCTTTGGGTTTTGATTAGACAAAAGCCACTTTGATTATCTTAATAATCATTTCTGTTCATCTTTTCGAATAAAGAAGTTTGTATTTTAGCTAAGCAGTAATTACTAATTACTGTTTAATCTTGTAATTTAAAAAAAAAAAATGCAATCACAATGGGGACAATAACAATGACAGCCTGGGATATAGAGCTTGACCGTTACCTTCATAAATTAAGTACACTTAAGGCCTCCACTATCATGTATTGTCTCTAGGTCAAATTTTAATTAAAACTAAGAAGGGCAGAGTATGTAGTGTTGTTTGGCAGAGTGGATGTTGAGTGATGATCATCTATTTTGAAGCTAAGAATGGACACTTCACTCACGGCATTAAAAATTTGACATTAGTTTGTAATTGATATGTCACCATCCTTTGTAGCTATTGTGAAGAGCAATGAGGATGAGATACAAGTTCGAGAAAATGGGGGTTACCTTGAACATAATAGCGCTTGCAACGATAATGATAGTTGTGAACATCACATAATATATTGGTGAAACAATTGCCGCATTGAAAGTGTTAAGTGCCTGAACAAATGACATGCAAATTGGTAGAGGATAGAGAAAAACAAATGATTCAAGACAACTGAAAAATCTAGTAGTTAACAGTCAATAGAATCATCATGTAGATCAATCGCCTTAATTGTCCATCCTTAATATGGTTGCTCTTGAAATTAAAAAAAAAAAAAAAAAAAAAAAAAAAAAAAAAAAAAGATATTTTGCAAGCATCACAAACAATCATGTTATGTACACAAGTTCCTTAAATTCAATTGCCCAGGCCACATTTGATGAAAGTTCTTCTAGTGGAAATGTTTATCTCAATGCGAGTGATGGAATGTATGGAAATGAGTTTTCCTAGTGATATAATGTTGTCTGCCCTTAAAAATCATATTATAAATTTACGTCTTCCAACATAATTTCTGATTTGATTAATATCAGTCAACAAGCACTCTGTCTAATTTGATAAATTTGATGAATAGATTCTTTGCTTTTAAATCTCCCAAACAAAACTCACAAAAACTTAATTTAGCTTTGTAATTAAGAAAAGCCAAATAGGAAGATTGTTGAGAAACTATACATATCATGCATACTTTTTATTTTTATTAGATTGACTTTCTTAATTTTTTATTGATTATTAATGTTGTGTTAATGGTTGGAATAAATGAACTCGGTAAAATAGGTGTGGGTGAATGTAAGTCCCAATGACCTTGTCAGTGTATTTGTGACCTAGACCAACTCGGCAAGAATATCAATTTTTCATGTTTAGCATTATTTCCTAATTATCCTTATATATTTAAACACATTTTTATGGTAAAATTTTACATATTAATGTTTCCTGATATTTTTACACCCCACTCATTATAATTAAAGTCAATTAAGCAATTTGTGAAGTCAAAATCAACTAAGAAACTTAAGTTGAACAAATGAATGGGACATAAATTGTAAGAAAGGGTGTCATATAGGAATCTATGGATTTAATTTCTATTTTTCCGGATATAAGGACTAAATGTAATCTTGAATGAAGATTTTTATGTATTCGATAAGTTGACCATATTCTTGACCAAGTTCTCAATTAATTTCTCAACAGATTACAATAGTGTTGAAGAAGGTTCTAACTGTTCCAATTTCACCTATTTTAATTCAGGTTCAAATTTTTTTTTTTTTTTTTTTTTTTTTTTTTTTTTTTTTTTTTTTTGTAATTTCAGTTTGTGTGAAACTTTATTGTCAAAATGATTTACCTAATTGGAACCTGATTTCTATGATGTCCTAATATAATCATTTTTCATTTCATTTTTAATGTGTTTTAACAGATTATAAATTAATAGTGTTGGTATATCTTATCATGGATAAAGATTGGATACACTTATCAATGTTATCTTGTCCTCTTAAATTTAGAATATTTTGAAATATGCCCATAAATGCTTTTTAGGTGATTTATTTAGCATACTTTGTATAGAGTTTCAGAAGCATATCAACATGGTGCAAAAAAGTTTGCAAATATAGTTCAAGCCAATGCGGGAAATCCAGAAAATGTCATATACCCTTGCAAATGTTGCAAAAACCTATTCCACCACCATTTTGATATAATGTACGGACATTTGATCATTAATGGCATGGATCCTACTATACTACCTAGGTGTTTCATGGGGAAAAACCGAATGCAGCATCATTGCCTCCTCAAGATGTTTCATTACATTTTCCTAAATTGCTTACTGTATCTGCTCTATAGCCTAATAAAAGTTATGCTTACATAGTACTAATTGATGTTGTAGGAAAAGAGTGAAAGATTCAGAAAGATGAGAACAGGTCAAACCCTAATGCATACGACAAGTAGAAAGGTCTTTGCTCCTTTAGAAGCTAAAATGGTAAAAAATTTGTTAAATTCAAAGTTAAATTTGCTTGAAAAATTATGAACTACGTTATCACATACATGAAATAAGTACAATGCAGCGTGCTGAAAGTGAAGACCCAGATTCTACAATGAGAGATGATGTTTATATTCGAGGACATACACGAAAAAATGGTGAACCTATTGATAAATCAGCTGAGGAAACATTGGTAACAATATTGTTTTTAGTGATTTTTGCTCATTCAAAGTTTATATTTATATTTTTTGCTGATTAATTTACTTCGTCGTATCAGAACAAAATAAGATCATGTTTAGAGACGGTTACCTGTCCAAGCCAACAATCCCTTAAAGATGATGGTGTTGCTAGAGTACTTGGTCTAGAACATCGAGAACGAGAAGAGGTCTTGGGTTCGGTGCGACTCCTTCAAAGTTGAATGCTTTGGTGCACAATCATAACTTGCAAACTCAAGTACAAGAGTTGATAGATGAGATTAAAGAACTAAAAGCCTTGTTTCAAATAAAGAGAACGAGTGCTAAACAAGAAAATAATGTAAGTGGAAAACTAGAATTAGTGAATGTTATTCTAAATTAAATATAATTTCTATATTTCAAATAATAAATTGTACAATTGAATACGAATTTTACAGTCTAGAGACAGAAGCTTGAATGGTTCAAATAACTTTCAAAATAGGAAATGCAAGTTATTATCTTGGTTTGGGAAGCTGATGTTGTGGCAAAATGTGAAATCGCATCAACAAATCCAAGTGATTTAGTGTATCATGTACATCTCAGTAATGAATGTTGGAGAGTTTGGGTTAATGAAGTGATTGATAATGTCAGCTTATATCGTTCTAGACGTGAGATTTTTCTTCTTAAAGATGCATTAGGAAGTACAATAGCATGGCGAATTTGGTACATTGAAGTGGATTCGTTGTAATCACAACGAAGTTATGCTTAACTTCTTTTCTATTTTAATTTCACAATTCATTAGGCAAATAATGTTACAATTCAGGTCCTCCTAGCATTCCTACTTTTGTGGGTCTTAACACTTTTAACTGGCCATTGATCACCGTTGAGTGGAACTTGATAAATGACATCTGAAATTTCAGGTACAGGTAGCTTACAAATGAGTATTGCTGAAGTCTCAGCTAGATTGAGCTCCACAATGTGACATTCTTCACAGAAGCTGACTCTTATCGTAACCATGCTTTCCATGCTTGAGATATTTAGAGAAAGAACCCAATAGTTATCAATCAAGTTCTAAACTTAGAATAATTAATTAGTTTAATTTTTTCATCTAAGCTTAGAATAATTAATTAGTTTAATGTTGTTTATCATGGTAGCTTGTACTCAAAAATATTTTAATTTTCATCTTAGTTGAGTTGGAATTAGATTTGTATAATTATTATAGGTGCTAACAATCAAATAAATAAACAGATTTTTGAAAATTAAATTAACATTTACGGTGTGCAAGCACGCCGTTAAAAGGAAAAACTTTGCACGCCGTTAAAAGTAAAAAACTTGCATTTACGGCATAAACCTTGCATGCCGTTAAAAGGAAAAAAATGCATTTATGGCATGCACCTTGCACGCTGTAAAAATCATATAACTAATAACGGCATTATAAAATGGCGTACATTGCACGCCGTAAAAAGTTGACACTTATTACGGCATTGCTTGGCCGCACGCCGTAAAGTTTTTTTATGGGCACGCCGTAAAAAGTTTTTTTTGTTGTAGTAATATACTCGTAAATGCTTGTTCATTAAATGGAGAAATAGAAATTAAAGCAACAGTCTGTTTAATTTTTGCAAGTTGTGGTGCAATAAAATTAAAAATCAAATTAAGATTATGACAAATACAAACCACATGAAAAGGTTGCCATAAAAATCTATATTGAGTTGGTTAATCAGTTAGTCTATAACATTTATGTTAACACTGCTGTTATCAAAAGTGAAACTATGGACCCTATCTTCATTACAAATTCCCGTAGTATGCCATTAAAGCATTGAAAATATTTTTGCATTATACGCTTCGATGAATTTAAATGAATTATTTTTTATGCATGATCCAAAACTTATCTATGTAATGGGAGGTAGAGCAAATAATTTGTAAAAGAAATGACATTACTATAGTTTCTTAAATCATCTATAATTTGTTATTTTTCAACACAATATAAATTAATAGCTTCATTGTGTAAAGTACCTCAACTAGTCGATTTGTACATGGGTTAAAAACATGTCCAAATCCACTTCATCAGGCGCACGCTTTCTGATGTGGATAGTGACTACTTTGCATAGGCAACAAACATAACCGCATATTTCCTCTTTGTCTCTAGTTTATTAACTTAGCCCCCATTTGGCCTTCATTAAATTTCATTACATTACATTCTATTTTTTTCTCTTCTATTTTCAACCATACAATATTCCATAAAATAATACTACACATAAATCGAAATTTTTTCCTTCTTTTTCAATCACTCATTTTTCAAAAAATCATTATTTCTCCCATTTTCATTTTCCAAAAATGGGGGCCAAACAGTACTCTCAACTACATCCCATATTGTACAACTTTCCAGTTGGCTCCGTGTTTCAAGTCATCCATATAGAACACTTGAATAGCTTGTGTTGAAAAAATAAAAGGATAATCCTTGTACCAAGTTCGAGCAACATTAATTGATATAAAATTTGGTTCTTCTATTATCCTTTTCGTAATTTTATCACGATCAAACCAATCACATTGAAACAAAAATATGCTTCTGTCATGGAAATAATGTAGCTGGATGACATTAGTTATACACCATAATAATCATTGTCATCTCCTGGTACAATAATACCACTATTTTGAGTGACTCGATGTGCACCACAACTTATTGTGTGAAATCGAAGGCCATTGACAATACAAACACTATAAAATGTAATTCGTGGATCCAGTCCACATACAAGGGCATATAGCTCATTAGTGACACTCAGGTCACCCAATAAACGTCTCCTACACATCTGTACATTTCCAATGACTTAAATAAATAAAATTTTCATAGATTCAAATTATTGGATCCATTCAACTTCCTAAACAATATATTACCTCATGTTGACACCACGTTGGGAACTTACGTTCTTGTAGGTCACTTTGATCGATTTCATGAGGAATTGTTGACAAATGTTCACTATTATCATTGAAAAACTATTATTAGTCAATATTTAAATAGTTGTAATTAGGGATAAGAAAGAAGGGAATTATAGCACTCACCTTAAGTACGGTTGGAGATCTTGGCAATTATTAAGTGTGGGAAAAATCCCAAATTTCACTAGTTCGGTCGGTTTATGAAAAATGAAGAATCCAGTATTCTCGATTTCAATATCGTATGTCTTTTGTCCGGTAAGATGATATATAACAGCAAGTTACAGTTGTACAACTAATTGGATAATAACAGAATGAACAACAAATCAACTATTGAATTTACTGCAATAAATAACAGAACGGATAATTGAAATTGCGGGAAATGAAATTTCAAACCGAGGCCTGTCTTACACACAGTTTTCTTAAAACAGATTTGTCCCCTCACCGTCCATGCTTGAGGTTTAAAACGAGCATCCGTTTCCCAAGATACAACGATAAAACCAGTAGCTTCCAAGCACTGCAAAAACCACTCCGGCGAACTGAACTAGTGCCTAAACTACACCACCACCAAGACAGAAATGCAGAAAATACAGAATTCTATGCAAATGAATTTCTTGTGTATTCTAAACTTAAAAGCTTTTTGCTTTGGTGTATTGAAATGAGGAAAATGAGCCACTATTTATAGGCTAGGCTACCATTAATGGCAATGACCTTTGGAGTTTCTCATCTTTTTCGTATGTGGGACAAATTCATTTTTCCCACATAAACTCTCTTTTGAGTGATACACTTTGAGCCTCAATTTCTCATTCACCCGAGCATCATCTTTGGCAAGTAAGTATATGATTTTGATGTACTCATGGAGGAAAACACAAATCAACTTTCATCTTCCAAATTGAAAAATCGGGTCCCACTCAAAACTCGTGCCAAAGTCGGCCCATAACTCAGTTTTTTTTCCAAAAATCCCCCACATGAATTAAAATTGGGAGCAACTCATGCATGTGACACATGACGACTTGTGAATGTGACACATGAGGACTTGGTGATATAGTTCAACAGTTGAAACCTGCATAGGATAGGTAACCCCTTTGAACCTTCCCTTGTGGAAGCATATTTACTTTACTGGCTGACCAGTAGACGCGATGTCCTTGAACTGTTCTGCCGTTTATGTAAACGATGATATACTTCACACAGGATTTTTCCTAACATATTCCAGTTCTTATTATTATGTTCGTTTTGGCCATGAACATTCTCCTCGCCCCCACACAATTCCTTTAGAAGCGGCCCCACTTCTCTCACAGAGGTGATTTCTTATTACAAGTAACCTGCATTATTTTACTCAATTTTCGATGCATAAAAATCATTAAAAGCCTATTGCTTATCCTCCATCTTTATGGGCATCACTGTCGCATCACAGGAATGGACAGGAGGTAATATCCTCCACAGTGATTCTATCAAGTCTTTACAATTAGGTTGTCCCTTTGAACCTAGATCTTGGGATCTCCAGTCAACTAGATTAAGTTTTCCTTTGTATTAACTTATCCATTCAAGGGCTTAAGTCATATTCCTCTCGATGATTTCTCAACTAACTCTCTATTTAACCCTTTGGTCAGCGGATCCGCAATGTTATCCTTTGACTTTACATAATCAATAGTGATAACTCCAGTTAAGAGTAGATGCCTAATGGTATTATGTCTACGACGTATATGTCTAGACTTACCATTATACATGTTGCTCTGTGCCCTTCTAATTGCCGATTGACTATCACAATATATGCAAGTTGTTGCCACATGCTTTGATCATCTTGAAATATCCTCTAAGAAGTTGCGTAGCCACTCAGCCTCTTCACCACTGTTATATAGAGCTATAAACTCAAATTTCATAGAGGATCTGGCTATCACTGTTTGTTTAGAAGATTTCCATGATATAGCTGCACCTGCCAATGTGAACGCAAATCTACTCGTGGATTTTGAGTCTTTTATGTCGGATATCCAATTAGCATCACTATATCCTTCAATGACCACTGGATCTCTGCTATAGTGCAGTCCAAAATTACGAGTATATCTCAAGTACCCTAGTACTCTTACTATTCCTTTCCAGTGATCAGCTCCTGGATTACTCGTGTATCTACTCAGTTTGCTCATTGTGTAGGCTATGTCTAGTCTTGTACAACTCATCAAGTATATCAGACTTCCAATAATTATCGAGTATTCTACTTGAGACACACTTTCACCTTTGTTCTTAGATAGATGTTGACTCGTATCTATCGGGGTTCTAGCCATTTCAGTATCATCCTTACTGAACTTTCCTAGGATTTTGTCCACATAATGTGAGTGGCTTAGAGCAAGACCATCCGATGTTCTTGAAATTTTGATTCCAAGTATAACATCAGTTAGACCCATGTCTTTCATGTTAAATCTCGAATTTAACATGGTTTTAGTGGATTTGATCACCTTATCATTGCTGCCAACAATAAGCATGTCATCAACGTAAAGACATAAAATGATAGCCATTTTCAGTGTCTTTAACGTAAACACATTTATCACACTCGTTGATCTTAAATCCACTCTCCATCATGACATTGTCAAATTTCTCATGCCATTGTTTTGGTGCTTGTTTCAAGCTATACAATGACTTCACCAATTTACACACCTTCTTTTCCTGCCCTGGAGACGAAAATCCTTCGGGTTGTTCCATATAGATTTCTTCATCTAAATCTCCGTTCAAGAAGGCAGTCTTAACATCTATTTGATGTACTTCAAGATTTTGTAAAGCAGCAATCGCAAGTATAATTCTAATAGATGTTATTCTCGTTACTGGAGAATATGTATAAAAGTAATCAAGGTCTTCCCGTTGTCGGTAACCTTTTATTACCAACCTGGCCTTCTACTTTTCAATAGTTCCATCTGCTTTAATTTTTCGTTTGAAAATTCACTTGTAGCCTAGTGGTTGACTTCCTGGTGGAAGATCCACTAGCTCCCATGTATGATTTTGCAGGATAGAATCTATTTCACTTTTAATGGCCTCTTTCCATTAAGGTCCTTTCGAGGAGTTCACAGCCTCTTGATAGCTTCGAGGTTCACTTTCTAGCATATAGGTTAGAAAATTCGGACCATAAGATTTTTCTGTCCTTTCCCTTTTGCTACGTCTAAATTCAACCTCAACCTCCTCTTCTGGTTCTTGGTCCTGATTATGTTCAGTCATAGTCTCATACGTCCATTTAGAAGAACTTGCCTCTTCTTCGGACCTGCATGGAAACACATGTTCAAAGAACAAAGCGTTTTTCGA